AAAGTATTAAAAAAAATATTTCGACGATTTTCATTATTATTTTTTTGACGGTATATACCATAGTCTTCTAGATCATACTAAAATATTACGGCCCTCCGACAATTGGTTTAACTTTAAAAATTCGTCAAAGATTGCAAAAATTGGTATCGTTTTTTTGGCATTTGTCAAAATTAGACCGCTCTTCGACGTTTTCTCAAAAACGCCTGAACCGATTTCAGAAATTTAAAAACCATTTGATGTGTCTCCATGAGGACTATCGGTTGTCAGTTTTGTGAGACGAACTGCCAAGACGCGTCTTTATAATTTGAAAAAAGTGTTAAACTTTTCGTCCACATTTAAGCTCATACTACCGAATAGATTTAAAAAAATTAAAAACTGTTCGGAAGATATTAGTTGGGATAGTTACTAATTAGTTTGAGTTGAAAATCTACCGAGCCGCCTTCTTGTAATTAATTGTTGAAAAAAAATTAAGCCGATTTTTATGGAACTTTTTTTAGCGATATATATCATGGTCTTATAGAACTTACTGTAATATTACGGCCTTACGACAAGTAGTTTATTTTAAAAATTCATCAAAGTTTGAGAAAATGAGTTTTTTTGAAGTTTGTTATAAATAAAATTAGACGATTTACTTGGTATAACTATAGAGTACTAGGTCTTAATGAACATACTAAACCATTAAAGTCCTGCGGAAACTGGTTCAAATATTAAAATTGTTGATGTTTGAAAATTTGCTTTAGAAAATACTCAGAGTTAACGTGTTCGTTCGTTTTCAATGATGTGTAGTAAATCCATTCGGAATACTTTTATCACTCATAAATTAATGAATTTTTCATTGATTAAGTCGATTATTTACACATATCGGGAAGTTTATGTAACTTGCCTCAAGGCGAAATACCAATACCAACTAGATTTTATATTCTATCAACTCTCCATTTACGATTTGCCGGCGATCAATTCCGGCTTGCATTATCATGCGGCATTTTGTGTGTTTTACACCAGATAAATGATTCACACAGGTTTTCCTGCTCCTCAAAAAATTGCCAGAACTTAGGACAGGAACAGACGAAAACAAAATACAAAGAAGAAAAAACGTGCTTGGATTTGAAATGCCGACTATGTTTAAACTTTCATAAACACAAACTCCATGATGGGGATAGAAAGATGTTTTATAAATCTAAATAAAAAGCGAGCTGAGACTTGTGACAGGTTGATTTCTTAGTAATGCTCGTGGAGGTATGCTGCGTGGTGCATATATTAAAGGCGGAGATGAGGTCGCGAAAATAGACTGAATTAAGAAAAATATTATTTAAAGTGAGATGAGACGTGTATAAATTAGTATAATTGTAAAAGTATTTGGTTGGACCAACTTCTACCAAAATCTTATCAATGTGAATCGAAAGATTTTGCATCATTCAAATGGATTGATGATCTGAACTATTGATTTTATTGGTTGACTGTAGTTTTTTTCTCTATCAGCCCCAAGACTACACCGTTTTACCAGTAAACTTGGTCCATGTTTCTTGTTAATATTTCAGTATAAACTGGTCATCAATACTGGAACGACGGTCGTGGTTCACAGACACCAGTCTAGGAGGTATCAATCGCGATTTAGGCGTCTCCATAAATGACCGTTGAGAAATACTGTGAATTATTCATTTTATTGTTTTGTTAGTTTTGGGTTTGGTAAATTAATGGATTTCATTAAGCGGTTTATAAAGTATACAGGTGATACAAAATTCAGAACATAAAATATATTTCACCATGTTGTTGTTAGAACATAAAATATATTTCACGATGTTACGAAAGATCTATATTCTTATAAAATGCTTGCAAGAATAAGTTGCTTTGAATGAAATTCAAATCAAAATTTGGTTAGATTCAAATAAGATTTGAATTAACATTCATTGTTCCATTCCACTGATTCCCATTAGACTCTCATCGGATTTTCAATAGGTTCTTACTGATTTCTTTTAGGATTTTAATTGGATTCGGTCTTGATATTTATTAATTTCCTGTTAGATTTTTACTAGATCTTTGTTAGATTCTATATTGATTATGACTGAAATATAAAATTACACAAAATAATAAAGCAATTCTACAATCCTTTATTTCCAAACTGATTCCAAATAGTATTATTACTCAATTCTAACTAGATTCTAATTTAATTTAGTTCAATTTTAATTTATGTTAGGTTAACTGAAGTGCACCAATTTGTCATATTTTATCATAAGCCATGTTATTATTTCTATATTATCAATATATCTATATATCTTCTACTCACACGACTTAGAGAATTTTATTATCCGATAAAATCCTCTTTCCGATTTCGATGGGATTATAAACTCGGAGATACTCAGAAAATTCATAATTGCGTGTTATCATACGTATAATATAAGTAGAGATTATTCGTGGAAACGATATCTGCATGAAAATTCATAGAAACTTCTACGAAAACACATTTCCGTTTTTTTCATCGGGCAGAATAAGAAAACCCGTTCTGATAATAGGATTTTTCAGAGATTTTCTTCTTGGCTTATTGCGCTGACGTTTTTCTTCTTTTTTGGTAGAGTAAAAGATAGAGTTATGGCTGGTAAATGATTTATTAAAATTATTTAGGAATAAATTAATTAAAATATTATGTTATACCTCTTTCGTTATTATTTAGTGGCATAGATTTCATAGACATTTTCCTATAATATTTGATATGTTATATCCACACATATTGTACTCCGACACGGATATAATCTTTTGGACCTTAATAAATGCAAATATGAAGCCATGAAAATATATTAGCAGTGAAGATCATCAACATGATTTTGGATCTTAATTTTTTATATTCAAAACGAAGTAATAGTTGGAGTCTAGTTAGAATCGAGTAAAAATTTTGTTGGAGTCCTCTTTGAATTAGAAAATTTTATTATCAGTATAATCAATATTGATCATCAACTTTTAGTTTAGTTCGCTTAAAAGTAGTAAAATCAGGGCCATAACCACTTTAGAAATTTTATTAATCTCTGAATATTTTATTATGAATTTCTTTGCTCGTCATACTTCATTGATCATTATTTTCATAAAAACTATGTTAAAAATCATTAAAAGTTTATTAGATTTTCTTAGATTATGTGATTTTAAATCATATTATAATGATTTAAATTGATTCCATGAACAGAAAACTCAATTAAATGACTCAGTAAAATAATTCGTTCGTTTTTGCTTCCAAATTATGAGAATAGATCAGTGATTCCAATATTTATTTCTAGAATATGAAAGCAATATAAAATCTTTTAAATAAAATTATTTTGAAATTGAAAAATGCTCTCACGATAACACAGGTTCCATATTTACATAGGTCAATTTGATATCAAGCAATAGTAGTATAAGATTTTTATATTTAACTTCCCGTAGGGTAAGTTTTAGTAATCGCAGAAAAATCGAAAATGAAATTTTTTATATATCTTTACGTTTCAGAGGTTTCTGAACATTTTGGCATACTATAGAAAAAATTGATGTATGTGTGTGTGTGCGCGAATACAAATTTTCGTCGTCGATTTCGGGAACACGGTTCAATCGATTTGCATGGTTAAAAAAACATTCGATTACTATTGATGGAGAGATGTGCTGATTAGTTTTTGGCAAAGGCAGGTCTAGTCATAGAAATAGAAATCGAGTATTTGAGAGAACGGAGTATCCGATTCAAATGACCCAAAAAATATTCAATGTGTAATGATTGTGAGAAGACGTGATTAGTTTTTGGCAAAGGCAGGTCCAGCTATTTCGGAGATACGAAGCTAAATGTGCAAAAAATGACAGTTTTTGAGAGAAATAAGCATCCGAATTGAATGTAAAAAGATCAAAGATCTCTCTACTTGTATTGACGATGACGAATACAATAGAATTCAATTTTATTTTATTTCCAAAAAAAACTTTTTTTAATATCGAAAATAATTCAATTTTCAAAAAAAAATTTAATTCGGTACGGGAAGTTCCAAAAATTTGACTCTAGGCACGATGCCATACACCACTAGTTTCTATTTTGATTAAAAGTAGTAAAATAACAATTATCTTCACTTGAAAACTTTTATTTGTTAAACTGCGGTTTCCATCTCGTTTGTTGGAAGAAACATAAGATGATGAAAGATAACGATAACACAAATTTTACCGATAAAAAATATTTAACATAAAAAACCAAGAGGATAGGTTTTGTTGACTAGTATCTGCTCGAGCACTTACAATACTCAAATTTCTAGGTAATATATTTGACAACATAGTAAATGATTACAAATGATTACAGAACTGAATAGAATAGAACTCATAATCAACATCAAATTATTTTTAGTTACCAGAACGAATTCTTATTTAGTCATTACTCTGAATCTCGTAATCAACTGTTTTTAAATTATTTTTAGTTACCAGAACGAGTTAACGTTTAGTCATTATACAACTGTGAATCACATAAATATAAAATTGTGAATTACATAAATATAAAACTATATCAATTGGCCATATTTGTCTGTAAATATAGAAAATATAGAAATCAATTTTTGGAAAGTTTTTGCGCAGTTCTTTTAGGATCAAAACGATAAAACAGTATATGTCCACAGTTAAATATTCGATTGACTATCCCTGTGTAATATTTTATTAAAAGCATATGCGACACCTAAGCCTTCATGAGTAAGAATGGTAAACGGGTCATCGCCGCTTGAATAACGGTCAGGTCGACCGCAAAATTCATGATCATCGTCGTCACGACGCACACTTTGCTCTGTATCAAAAGTCCAAAGGTCCAAAGGTCGACCATGTATAGATTGAAGCCACCTTTTTACAGAATATGAGTCGAGCTTTTTATGCGAGCTTTTCCACGCTCCTCGTTACTGTTATGGGATAAAGATTGGCCGAATTCATAATCTATATACATAACCAGATATATAAATATATATATATATATATATATATATATAATAAAATATTTTTTTTTTCAGAAACAGAGAGCACGAATTATCATGGCGGTGTACAAAATAAGGATGCAAAAAATGTCTGGATCTCTGGTAAGTTTACTATGAATCTAATTTCTCAGATTTAAGAAAAAAATTCTAGTTCATATATTAATAAAGTAGTCTGCCAGCAAAAATATTCAGTGGCAATTTCGTCATAGAAATTTGCAAATTTTAATATTCCCCACACGTTGTTCATGAATCGTGGACTGTCGGTCGTTTGGCAGAATGTTATAATTAATACTTGTTGCTCGCGATGCTTTGTTTCGGGCGAGTTAGAAACATTCTGAATATTTTATGTGGGTCGTGAATGCGTTATTAAATCATACCACAATTCTGTGGTGAAATACTGATAAAACAATAACAAGCGCAGATTAATATCAGCCAAGCCCCAATGGAGATACACATTAATGCACCCCATACGACGAGGCATGTTGAAAAGTTATTGTGTTTTATTCGAAACACTAAACTAATTATATTTTGAATAGTGGATATGGATGTTTATTTTAGAAATATCAGTACCACATTTAATTATAATAGAAATTATTCAACAAGTTATTAGATAATAATGGTATAATTTTGCTTGGTATACCTACGTACCTACATGAGCGTTTTCAATCAGGGGTGTCCATTAATCACGTGAGCGAGTTATTAAGGATTTTTGGAAGCCTCCCCTCCTCCCTCCACACATTACGTTTGGATTTTAATTACGTTATAAAACTGTGAAATTTTTTTTTTAAATGTTTGATTTTTTTAAATCAGTTAAAAATAAATACACATGATATTTTACTATACCGCTCACTCCCTCACGTAATATTTTGTAATTATTTGCCAAACCCCCTCCCCTGAAAATCTCACGTTTTTTTTAAATGTTTGATTTTTTTAAATCAGTTAAAAATAAATACACATGATATCTTGCTATACCGCTCACTCCCCCACGTAATATTTTGTGATTATTTGCCAAACCCCCCTCCCCTGAAAATCTCACGTGATTAATGGACGCCTCTTCACTTTAAATGATAATATTAATGATTCTTAATCGAACTTGGTGTAAGTAGCATTTTGCCAAGGCAACTTGCATAAATCTTCTCGATATGTGCAATTGAGATCTGGCTATTTAGGTAAAATTTTCAATTACTTATTTAGATAAGTTTTCTCTTGCACTTAAAACTAATCATTTCTAGCAATTTCCAATTGATATCTATCAAATATATTTATTTTATCTTCTAAAATTATATTAATTTCAGTGTGCAAACACATTCATGAATGTCCTAAAAAGAGCAGCCAATTATTTTAAATTTTAATGAATTACTACAATTACCAGCACTAGCACTAAATTTTACGTTAGTAAGATTTCAGAAATATTTGAACAAGATTTTGAAAACATGTTAATAATATTTTAATTGCAATAATGACATAGTCAGATTCTAATCAGGGTCTAGTCAGAATCTAGTAAAGATCTCGTTCTGATCTAATCAGAATGCACTTCAAATTTGTAGTATTTCAGTCTGTATCAAGTTAGAATGTAGTGGTTTTTGAATTAGGAGACTGTAGTAACGATTTAGTTCAAATCTAGTTAGAACCTGGTATGATTAAAGTTAGAATTCACTTAGAATATTAGAATAGTATTTTAGTAATACTTACTTTATTACATGTCTAGTCAGAATCTAGTTAGGATACTAAGTACAAAAAACGACTTGGCCGATTTAGCAACGCTAGTCCTTACAGTTGTTTGCAATTTCAATCCTGAAAATCAAATTTATGTTAGAATCTATTTAGAATCGTGTTAGCATTCATTTAGAATCTAATCAGAATCTACTCGGCTTTTAGTAGATATATCTTAATAATTTACATATATCCTCAAAATTGTTGAATTCTTTCTAAGTATACGACCATGAAGATTACTTGTCGTTAAGCAAAAAATGTAAAGTAAATCCACATGTCATAGTGGATTGGCTTTATTTAGTAAAGTAAATCCACATCTCATCATAAAAAAGTTTATAAATTACATTGTTTTGAAACTCATTTTATTCGCTTCATAATACTTCTAACCCAAATTAACCCATAGAATTTTAGTACAGAATGATCTATTTCACTTAACATATAATCCTGTTTGGGGGTATAAGTTTGTCCTTTAGTCCTGCGGAGTCGCCCTCGGGGTTTCGAAGTCAAACTGTTGGCGGGTTGGCGGGTTAGTCGTCTACGTTGCAAACTGTGTGCATTATGCACTGGCGCATGGACATGGACTTTGCAACGACAACGCATTTAAAATACAGTGCCGCACTAGGAATCGGAACTAGTTGTAAGTAGCATTTTGTATTACAGCTGCTCAAAGAGTGAGATTGTATCGCTAGCGAAAAAGTAAAACAGAAATAAAAGCAGTCAATGAATGTATGTTGATTAAATTTACATGAAGTTCTTCGAACACTATTACATAATGAGTGAAATTGTGAAAACAATATTTCTTTAGGCCTTGTTTACCATAATCCACTGTGTGAACGAATATTATAGAATTTATTAATCAGCATTTACTTTATTTGTCTAATGGAGGTTCAAGTTCTAAATGCTAATTACAATGACAAACCGATCATGTCATATTTGAAGTATGATTTTAATTACATTATTGTTTTCAAATATAATAAATATTTTTAATGCTATTATGAATATATAATTCATAATTTATTATTATATAAATATGCCTAATGGTTGACAATAATAAATTTGCATCACGAGTGTTACAATATTACTAATAAACATTATTCAAAATTGTTAGATGATGTATTTACTTTAACTTAAATGCTATCTCGTACAATAGCAAAATAGTTTTTTGCACTTTTTTTTATAATTGCTTTATCATAGGCTCATATTTTTATGTATTATTTCTGATTACGAAATCTATCCGAACACAAAGCTTCATCAAAATCGTCAATTTTTTTTCAACTAATCAAAGCGATTCCTATCCAATATCTTCTGAACAGTTTCTCAATTTTTGAATTCGATTAAAAATTATGGACTAAAACTTAACTCTAAAAATTCTTAGACTTGATTCTAAAGATTTAAGTTATTTATAACAAAGTTTGCATCTGCATTTTCAGTTCGCCACGTTGGATGGTAGAAAGTAGCCGATGGATCAAAGTGTTCTCTTGTGCATAATTCAATTCTACTCTATACCATGGTATACAGAGCTTACTTTAGAATATATTTTATATCAAAACTGTCTAATATAACTATAGTTCAATGGAATGAAATATATACATGACCTCGATCCATTTTCTACTATCAATCTTGACTTTTTTGAACGAGTATGTTCTCTATTTAGTTAATTATACATGCAACAATAAAAATATAATAAAAATTATAATAGAATATAATTTGAGAATCAACCAAACATAATTTTCATAAATAGAAAGTCAATACATTACTAGTTTTTGTAGAAAATTTCAATAGGTTTCGTATAGGCTCAAACTTGCTTGGACAACATAATTTGCTTACATTGCGCAGTTTGTGAATTAAAAATGTAATCAAGAAAGATTAAAATAGTATAGACGTCAACTTGAATTGTACTTATTTCATTTTATTTTTTTAATTCGGTAATTAGTAAATTTGTCATTATCTCTTCTTAACTAATTTTTGTTGGTCACTGTTAAAATATATTATATTTTACTTTGTATCGGACATCGTAATGTATTGGGAAATTTCCGTGATATTCTAAATATTCTGAGTGCTTTCTGGACGAATATTTTGCTTTTGTATTGCCCAATAAATTGTGAATAAAATTCTATAATCCTAGAACCATTCGAATACCTTTTACAGCATGGGGAGTTGTTATAGAGTTAAATGTAGACCTAGTTTGGTGTTTATTCAAAATATTGTAATCTAAATTTTATGTACCTAAATTAATTTATATCGAAAATGATGGATTGCATATGCTTCTGGAAAAAACTAGAGAAATATTAATTTCTCATAAGTAGCTTTAGATAACGTTATTTCTATTTTCTAAGTAATAATTAACCCAAAGTCAAAATGTTAGACATATTAGAATAGGTATGAGAAACTCTATTCAACTAATTCCGAAAATAAAATTTTTACCACAAATTTAGGCGTTAAAATTTTTTTTATTGCAGTATTCAAATAGTAAAGACTAGGCTTATTATTAAAATGGTTTTTGAATTGGTATAATAAAGAAAATTTATGATTTATATTAAAAAATTTCTTTTACCTAATGCGATTAAGCGGTTTTTGGATATGGGTGCTGGGCTAGTTTCAAGAAATCTTACAAAAAACTGAGATTTTTTTAAATATCATACTTACTCTCTTACTATATAATGTATCCTTTTCTATGTAGTCTATTTTATCTTTCTCAATGTTATAAAAAATTTAAATGATTCTCTGGTCCCTGGACCACTGTTTCGGGTTTAAGCCTCATGTGTTGTTTTTCTATGAGGTGGGTGTTCGAAAACTCCAATGTTTACAATATAAGTTGTTTTGATAATGGAAAAGCTTTGAGCATTTATTACCATATAATTACATGGCGTGTTTTTATAAAAATATTTTGTTAACATTTGTTATGATTGAATCGGGAACCAATACTTCATTTGATACATACTAGTAATTTTCTGATTAGTAATAATTATTTTGGCTTGTGTTTTACAAGTATATTTTTTTATATTTGCAAATTTTTTCCCTAAATTTTGATATCTAATTATTTTAATACATTACTAAATATTTCCTCTTCCCCAAATATCTTTAGTTTCCAATTTTGCAAAGTCTGGAAAATAACAAACCGTTCATTTTTATGCATATGAAATACACAGTAATGATAGAATCGGGCCCGCGTACCTCGCCTAAGGGACTGAATTCACTGTCGGTAATACCTATATATTTTTATGCACTATAAAGATAAAAAAATAACGAAATGCGGTCCAAACGACTTTCTGTATGTACACTGAAAAAAGAGAGCTTGGGGTAATATTACAAACTTCCAGAGTTTTGTTTTTGCCAGAAGATCTAATTTGCTAATTTTATTCGGCATTTCAAGTCATTTTGAATCATTT